GATCTAAAGAGTAACCAATTTCTTGCACTCTGACACATCCAGGCTCAGGTGTGTATTAGTGGAATTCCTTTATAGAATGCAAACATTTCAGTTCTAGCATTAAGAAAGCAAACAGCAAACAAAAAGCTGAGAGATCACAAATCTGACTCCCCACAGAACTGCTGAAACAGGATTTTTGTTATATGGGAATGAAGATAACTGATTTGTAGTGAGATTAACAGGCATGAGTCAGTAAGCACATTCCTAATATTTATTCTAGAGCTTTGGGCAATCTAGCAGCAGAGATTCTTTCAGAACTCAATTGGCATTTAAAGATGCTGCCTATCAAAGGAGATGGTTTTATTTAGATTCATATTCTTTCCCATACTCAGGATCAAGTTCCCAAAGCTGTATCGGGCCAGTAACAACAATCACACTTTCATGTTCAGAGCTTGCCTCTCTCTTGGACCTATTAACACAGCCTTGGTAGCATCTGGAAGAATAGTCATAGGCCCTGCACACCACAAATTCACACTGCAGGTAAATCGATGGATTGCTCTGAATGAACTGGAAGGCATTGAACTTAAACCGGAGTATGTGTCTGGAGGGGGAGTAATATGTAGCATAGGTATGATCCCGAACACACCTAAAAACAAACAAAAAAACCATCTCATGAATACTGCAGTCAGGTATTTACATGCAATAAAACACCTAACATGGGTACTGATTGTTAAACATGATGAAAATAGTTCAGAAACCTGAAATTAGAAAAAGCATAGTCATGGCCTCATGGAGTGGCTGGGATTGGAAGGGACCTTAAAGGTCATCTAGTTCCAACCCCCCTGCTGTGGACTTGGCCTTCTTTGGCAGAATGGAACCACGTTACCTCCACTCAACCTGTCATGTGTCTAGATACCTGGTGTTTGCATGTCTTTCTGAAGGCAAATTAACCTTTCTTGAGATATGTCACTGCTACTTCTTTGATAACAACAGTCCATGGTTTACTGGCCATAGCCATTTAGTCTTCTTGTCGTTTTAAGCTGTGGGGTGTGTGTTATACTTTGGGTCAATTCATCCCCTTTTCCCCAGTAAACCCTCAATGCTGTGTTCATTACTTAGTTAGAAGCTGTCATTAATCTATTATATACTCACACACTTTCATCAAATTAAACCAAATGAATAATGAGAGATACAGGGGTTCAAAGGCTGTTCTGTCTGTAATTGCAATGAGCTTACCCATTCTTGATTATATCGTAGGTTCCTGTCGTAAAATTGTGGGGAGTGGGAGATGCCACACAGGTGTCCAGAAATAACACCAGGTCTGGATCAGAGCTGTGCAGGTAAGCTTCAAGGAACAAATTCTGGTTGATTTTGACATAGTATGGTGAGTCGTACACTGGCCGTGAGAAGTATGAAGAGTCATAAAACGTGAGGTTTACATCATATCTGCTGTACTGGGTTTCGTTGACTGCAAAGTTGTCATCTGCGACATACATTATTTGTGCCCACGTGTCCTGCAGCATTTTGCAGTTGACATGCAAGAGAAGATTTCTATTCCTTGTGATTACAGTGCCAGAAGAGGATCCTCTAATAACATTGGAATAGGTGATTGTATTGTTGTTTCCCTGTTTGGCACATAAAATAAAATGCAAAGTTAATTCATATAGTCAGGTCCCCTACTATGCATTCCAAACTTTTCTGTATCCTTACAGCAATGTGGGTGGTAAAAGCATTATTGCCCAGAAAGTCTTCCACGGGAAAGTCTGAAACTAGTAATTTCTGTTCTCAAGTCTGTGATCTGCATGTAATATTCAGTGCCTACAGTGTTGGCCTAGGAAACTACTCACATTCAATGCAGACATAAGTGAATTAAATACAAGATGCTTTAAACATTAAATATGTGAAGGTTCAGGTCCAGCACACTATTTAAGCTGAAATCTGTCTTAAGACATGATTGGTCATATTTAGTGAAAGCTTCAAGACCTTTTTAACCATCACACTCAACCTGGGACCTTGAAAATGCTGAGTATTTGTTTCCTTCCACAACTTACTCCTCAGGAGATCAGTAACAGTGTGTAAGGTAATGCTCTGGCAGCAGATGCAGGAAACACAAGTGCTAATAAACCTTATCCCCCAGGAGAGGGAGAGGCAACACAGAATCACTTCCAGTCCTCGCAGATCCCAGAACAGCTTTCAATTTGTGCTGGTTGTCAAAGTGAATCATTCAGTTTGTATTTTTATGTCCTCCCAATATTTTCCCATTTTGCTGAAACATTTACCTCTCTGATTGTGCCACAGTGATTGTATGGAATGTCGAATGCAACATGCTCTGATGTGATGTTGGGTGTGCACAGAGGGTCGTTCAAGGTGAGATTCCAAGCAGAGTAGCCATGGGACTGAAGGAAGTATCTGCTCACTACTACGTGCATGTAGTCTGGCAAACACAGCAGTGCTAGTGAATGGTGAAGAAAACATGTTATAAGCTCAATGAAATGTCCAAGAAAGGTTGTAAGTTGTGAATTAAACAAACAATATCTTTTGCAGAAGCAGCTGTTATGGCAGAAGGAGTTTAGAATCCAAACCATAGACTTGAATCCTTATGAAAATGCTACAGATCTAATTTAAATGATATGAAATGGATGATTTGTTACATCGGTACAAGAACAATCAATGAAATCAGCAGGTAATTGAGAAGCAGTATCTGCTTTAAAGATGAACTTACTAGTGCTCTCATCTGCTGGACTAGAATAATACTTGGCCTGAAACCCTCTGTAAGTGTATCGGGAGTTGCTGTGAAATCGAACAGTCATCAGGTTTGAGGAAGATGTATACGTGCGATAATAACCAGAGCAAAATTTCCCAAGGAGAGGAGAGGTTTGGAGTGGTCCATCATAGACTTCCACATAGTCAGAGAGGCACCTGCCACCTTCCATCCTGGGGAGCAGAGATGGCTATTTAATTAAATGCGTAATTTACTTTCCTGATTTATTTTTCCTTTTTAACCTCTATAACTCAGGTGATAGAGGTTAAACTCAGGTTAACTCATAACTCTTTATAGCTAAAGAGAACATTTTGCTGACATGATTATCAAATCTTTGGAACAGAAATTACAGCCTCCAATTTCTGTCTCATTGAGTGCCAGCCACATTATTAACTGAACAAACAAAAATGAGCACATTCTTCATCTCATATATCCTAAAAGCTTTGAAAAAGATCCTTGAAATCAAGTAGGTCTCTGCTTAGTAAGTCCAAATTGTCAGTCTCATATATTCATCTTCCCAAGGAATAAATTCTTACTTACTGAAGATCTTCAAATGTGAGTTTGACACGGAAGTTGCTCTTTACTTCTATCTCCCACACACAATTGGCATTGTTTGGATAATTTCTTGGGTAAAATGGACTCTGTAATGTACCAGATGAAGAGGAAAGCAAGCCACCACAAGAATAATCTTCTGCAGAGAAAAATATAAGAGGAAAAAGATACATATACACCATTTAAGGTTGTTTTTGGAATGTGTCTATGTAGAATTTATGCTAAAATTCAGAGGTGGTGACCTATCTATTAGGTTCATATACATCTGAGTGCAGGTTAGGAGATGCTAAGCACACTGAAGAGCTTTTGCAAAGTAGATCTTCAGTGTCTGCACTGGCAGGATAGTATTTGTCTGGGAACTGAACAACTTTTCAGGTTGGGTCTCTGGAGGTCACCTGCTCCTTGAAAAAGTCCCATCTGAGCCTGTTTCACCCCTATGACAATCTCTAATGAAAGGTAAGGACACAAAAAGATCAAATTGATTTGCTTCAGAGTAAGAACGCTGACAAATATACAATTCTTAAACATGAACTTATGTCACAGTCCAAAAATTGTATCAAATCTATATATATAGTTCAGTTGCAGCTTAATCAAATAATATGGCAATCAAGATCTAAAGAAAAGCTAGAAGTAAAATAAAGTAATGGATTTCTAGGATATTTTCCAGTACAAGCTCAAGCTACTCCAAGAGAATTGAGTGAATGAGCTCCATCTTTTGTTTTATATTCCAAATTTAGAAAACAAAAACCATTTATTTTTTTTAACCTAAAGGATGAACAAGGGAAGTACTAAGGTCTAAAAGATTTTCAATTTTTATTTTAAGTTTCGAGTAAACAACAAAGAGCCTTCTCTCACTGACCTAACATTTACTGTGTGAACCTGAGCCTTTCCATCCGGGGACCCCAAATAAGGTGTTCCTTGTACCTTCTGTCTGAAGATCAGGAAACACTGTTTTATTGTGAGGGTGACTGACCAATGGTACAACTTGCCCACTGAGGTGGAGGACTCTTCATCCTTGGATACAGCCAAAAGGCATCTGGACATATTTTTAGGTAGCCATCTCTAAAAGATCTGCCTATAGGAGGAGTCAGGGACCAGAAGATCTCCAGAAGTCCCATCAAACATCAGCCACTCTGTGAGTCTCTGAAGGATAATTGGAGGGGTCTGACTAGCTCCTGCACCAAGTTCTCCAAACCTACCTGACTTTGTTGATGTAGGGGTCATCCAGCTGGAACTAGTTGTTGCTGTAGGGAGAGAGCAGCAGATGAACACTCAGCAGTTTGCCTAAGAGAAACAGCCCCCTGGGAGTCACCCTTGACCAAAAAGGCTCCTGAACACTGAAGCATGACACCCACAATCACCACATGGAGGCATGGCAGGTCCCTGTGTGGCTGCACCTCAAAGCCTTCCTCCTCCATCCCACCAGCCCAGAGTGCAGCTTTTCTCCTGCATGTGCAATAGCTCCCAGCAACAGTGTGTCCAATGTCTGTGTTGTCAGGATGATGGGAAAG